AAAAATAATAATATTGGCGTACATATTTGTTTATCATCGATTATCAATTGTAATAAAATATTCTGTAACCTAAATTAATTTTAAAAATAGGTTTATAAATCACGATAATGAATATCGTCGTTAACTTCTTAATCTTATCTGCTGACCCACATTTTTATAACCTTAACGTGTTTAAAGACCGTTTCGTGCTCGTGTATAATTTCCAAATTTGTGTTTTGAATACGACACGTCATAAAAAATAATATATATGATGATAATTAATTTTTTAACGCAATCTGTAAAACCTTCATCGATATTATAAAGAAAAAACTCCAAGGAAAGAGTTGCGTAACTTTCCCGGCAAAAATTTGAAAATTGTCTGTTATGGTATTTTATTAAAAAAACTTTTTATATTATTAAAATGGCAAGAAGCTTATAGAAACGAGTTTTATAAACAATTGTAAATGCTAATAACGAGTAAAATCTTCATTAAGTTCGACCCCACTCGAAATATAGTGTGACACATAACTCCTTTCTCTATCTTCCAGTCCCTCGACTATTAGCCACTAAAATTTAATAGCATCAATCTTCCTAATACATAAACTTCCCTGTAAAATTTCAGAAATTTTCGACAAAAGGCACAGAGTTATTCAGCTTGAAATTGGCTTAACAAAATCGTGCCCCCACTTACACTGACATCCATATATACAGAAAAAATCCCCAAATTTTTTACATTTCTCGATGTTTCAAGATCGAGAGTCAAAAAATGTAAAAATCTGGAGGGAGAGGCATTTTTTGACCGACTGTCATTTTTCCCTCTGTTATATATAACAACCTGGAAAGTATAAATGAACTCGAATGCAATTTTAATAAAATAAGATAAAGTGGAATTAAATTAGGAATGATTTAAATATTAAGCCTAATTATAAACTTTATTTAGAATAAATATTATAAAAATATATTAAATAATCTAAATAACTTAATTGTGTATTAAAATTATAATGATTTTATTCTAATTATTATGTAATCATAAATACGAAATTAGATATTAATTAATAAATTTTCAAACAATTTAATATTGCTAAGGTTCAATTTTCTAAATGTGTTATTATTACGCTTTCTTGATATATTTACTCAACATGTAAAAAATATTCTTGTATAAAATCTAAAGTCAATATAGCCTACATATACCGGTATATAACACAGTTATGCAGATTTAAATAAATTTTATAATGCAAAATAGGAAATCAAATTTATTTAAATTAAATTAAATAGACTGAAAACTAGCAAATTTGTAAAATCTATATTTGAAATTTAATACTCGACTTTAACCGATGTATTCAGTCGTGTGCGCAAAGAGATTCAACATAAATCGGGAGTTAAATTAATTGTTATAGTTAATCACGAATAATTTATTAGCTTTACGATTATTGTTTAATCTCATTCTATTTCCCAATTAGTAATGCACCTTTATAAAATTTTCACGCTATACTTTTTTTATTCCTGTATTTGGAATGGATTAATGAGATAAGGCTTCCTCGGCACATGGACGATATGCCGAGGAAGGGTACTCCCCGGAAGGACTTTCTATGAAAAATTGGTCTCATTTAAGTGTTACCAACTCCATGTATCCATAATCCCATTGGCGCGACTCGAATTCGCAACTATCTGAACCAATTACAGATGTTCAGTGGTTTCTATGGAAAATTGAGCCTTATTGATGTATTAATATGCGAAGCAAATTAAGAAAAGTCCACGTATCCAGTTATTGGTGACACTCGAATCCTCAATCAATTACTCGGTTACTAGTAAGCACCACCGCCGTACTTATTAAGGAGTAGATTTTACTAGCGTAAATAACTTATATGTTGATAAATATTATTAGTTATGTTATACTCGTGGGTAAGTAATTATATATGTTAGTAATATAAACGTTTGTTTACATAATATAAATCATACTACAAATACAGCATCATTGCGCATTATGTAGCCTTTTATTTACTTAAATAACAAAATTAAATTTAAAGACATTTAAAATATAATCATATTAGCTAAAATTCTATACTTGTTCTTTATTTTAAAATTTTATATCATAATTTTAATCCGGAATTAATGCATTATAAATATTATCTTGATTAATGTATGTTCTAAGATAAAGATTATTAATTTCCAGCTTAAAGTTTAAATTAATAGAACATATTAATCTTAATTCGTAATTAAACATTTCAAAATCGACTAAAAAATTGTAAATGATGCAATTAATACAAAAATTATAAAAAAAATTTTCTTATAGTTTTTAAGTTTGTAAATTAATAACAAATTTAATAGAATATCAATAACATCCTCGCTAATTAAAGTATCAACTCTATGACTAAAAACTAAATTTAAACATTTAATATAAGAATATTAACAAGATCCCTTCTAAACTTTTTATCAATTTAATACCTTTTTTTTTATAAATAACATGCCTTGTAATTTATTAGATTCGGTAGCCATTTGTCATCTTAAAGTATTGGTGTACTTGGCACATCGAAAGATTAAAAGTGTGATTTAAACATATAAAAAATGCACGAAGATAAGAAAATGACGTTTTCCAGACACTAACTACGATCTTCTTATCAACAAACAAGTCGACAGAAAGGTAGGCTGACACTTTAAAATATTAACTCATCTACTTATGAAAAATTGACGACTGTCATTAGATGTTTATATTATTTGGTGGCACGTACAGTACTGTACGAGTTTTTTCATCGTAGAGACTTCAAACAATTCTGATAAGTTTTTATTCACATTAATAAACAACGTTAGAACACGGAAAATTTATTTATTTGTAAAAATTTCCATCTATATTTTGTCGCTATCGATCATTATACATTTGGTAAATTGGAAAGTGTCCACTAGAATTTATACGTAAGCATAATATTTAATGTAATATTCTAACTGGTTCGGTGCAACATCAAAGTACACAGATCAATATGTATATATATATATTTTTTCATAAGTTTTATTTACAAAACTTACTTCTTTAATAATATTAAGTTTTGTACATTAGCATAGCAATTTTTAAAATTATTTCCTCGACAATCCCATTACAAATACCGAATTAACTTTGAAATAATCTTTAAAAACTCTATTAAATTTATACGCAAAGATAATTTTAACTCAATTATCCGAACGTATAAATATTTTTATTGCCATTCAATTTTACGGTAGAGAACGGGAGAGAGTGGATAAAACAAGACCTGTTGGCAAAAAGTATAATCTACTTTCTTTTGTTATTTCAATGCAAATCGAGTCAGAAAATTATAAAAAAAAAATAATAAATGTTTCGTGTAACATAACACGTTACCATAGTAACGTGCGCAATGCAGATTGCTAAATGTTTTGGGTCACGGTATGTGAACAGTTTCCATTATCCACCGAGACTGGATGAAGTTCGAAGCTAAGGCAATTGATTGTAAAAATGTGCATCTGGTGGCTCGGAAAACACACTTCATAAATATGAAAGATTTAAAACTTTTTTCTTGTTTACATAAATTTTCTAACAACAAAGTTCGGAAATATTCTTCATTCTATATTCATTATTATTGACGGTTCTAAAATATTTTTACGGGCTTACACAAAATTTCGTACATCATGCCTTACGCTCTGACATTCTTATAGGCCTACGTATTGCGTATTTAAATTATCTCCGAGGGCATATTTTACTCTCCAGAAATTCATAAAGTATGTTGATTTTAAATTGAATGTAAAATACAGCAATCTATCGAACAGAAATGTGAAATTTCACTTATACGAAAGATTCGGAACGAATTCTGCGTGTTTAGAATTAATAATATTGTAGAATAAATTTATATTTTATTTCTTTATTTTTGTATCTAAAAGTCTTCTATTGATGTGTTTTTGATGGAAACCGAATAAAAAGATAGGAGAAAACCTTTGGTATCGATTTTTTCGAGGAAGTTCAACTTTACTTCGATCGTGAACAAGCTGAAGTTCGTGACAACTCGTCTCTCTAGAGATGAGTTGTCACGAACTTCGACAACAGCCAAGGCAACAGAACAGAATTCTCGTCGCAAATGTCACATATCAAATATTCGCAGAACTATTTATATATATTCATAAATAACGTTTTATGACAATGATTAAAAAAAATTAAATAGAAAGTTAGATCATTCTTTCGATTGTTACGAAACTTGAAATTCGCGAGATAAATTCTACGTAAGAATAATTTTCTACATTTTTTTTTAATTTTGCCATAAAATTCTCTAAATTAAATATATAAAAAGTATGTAGACTTGTAGCACATGAATATTTAATGAAAATTGATTTGGCATTTTACGTGGTCAATAACTTCCGTGAAGACAATCGCATTGTTAATATGTAATATTAAATTATCGAATGATTGACGTTTTCCATAGTAAATGTGACATTCTCTTTAATTAAATAATCAATTAATTATTTCATAATTATATATTTTAATTGAATAATTTTCGCGCATTTTACAAATTTATAAAAAATTCTGCTTTGAAAAAAAAAAGAAAAATCTTCAACAAATTATTTAGATTCTATCAAATGCCACATTTTTATTTAATTATTTTTCACCGAAAAAATTCGTATGAATATTTATTTAAAATAAAATGAGAAAAATAAATTAACTTTATAATAAAAATATCGCATTTATTCTCGATTTTTATATTATTAATGTTTAAAAAATGACAAAGGATTTCTTTATATATTGCAATTTGATTCGAAAAAATTGTTATTAATATAAAAAATTTTTCCAATCTTAATCTAATAAAATTGTATACATTTTAAACTAAATTAAATTTATAAACGTGTAATTTAATCCTAGGAACGGTAAAAATATATTCTAAAGTCACCTTGAAATATTAATCGAAGATTTTTAAAGATTTTTCAATCCAGACATCGCATGATGATGATATTACCATTAGTTTTATCATGGCAATATTTTTTACTGAATATAAAAGTATTAATATTTATTTATTTATTAGACAAACCTTTTATACAATCTCCAGTTGGTGATTCGATACTATGCAGATCTCTACAAGTACATCGATGCGTTTCCAAATCGCAAACAAGTAATTCTAAGTTGTTGCAGTCTTCGTCTGTGCTACAAGTAGTTGGATTTCCCGGAGTTTCTGCAAAAGAATTTAATTTCGTTACACGGAAAAAGCCAACAATACCTTTATAAATATTATAATAAAAGACATTTAAATTTATTTTAATATTATTAAAATCGCTTTCTCGCTTAATATTTTTCTGAATTCGTTAAATTTTACGCTTCTCAAATAGATGAATAAAAATAAATATTATTTTATTATAGTGTTGAACCAATCGATTTTGTTAGCTTTAATGTTTAAATTAATCTTTAAATGGGTTAATCAATGAGAATCTCTTCACACAAATGCTTTATTCTAATGAACAAATCCCCGAGAATATAGAATGGTAATTGTAAGAGCCTTTTCTCTATGTTTTTCTTGAAAGAGCCTTAGAACAAGAAAAGGCGATTATGTCAATCGCCTGTGGCACCCCGCCAAGAAGTTAGACTGCGTGTTAGACAACCAATAGGATGTTTTCTAACAACATGGATTCTGCACTGCGCCATTAAAATAAAAACTTTTCACTTTATAATTTCCAATTTTTAATCTGATTACTTTTAGCAATTATACATACGGTAATATCATAATCCTCATTTATCCTAATACAGAAAAAAATTACTATTGTATTAAAATATATTTTAGAAACATTCTAATTCATTATCTAATTCAAAGATTACTTCTAAATCTTCCAACACTAGTAAACTACAAGTCTAACTTTGAAATAAATGTTTCGATTTAAAAAAATTCTGATTAATTAACGAACTAGAAAGGAGTTCTTTATATCAAGGACACTATAAAAATTAATTATTATTAATTAAAAATCTAATTTTAATAGATTATTAATATGATTATTTGACAGAAATTTATCGAACAGTTTTATTTGCCTTAATTAATGCATGGACGGGATGATAAAGTGAGTTTCAGAGGATATTTGACGCCGAATAATTAGTTTAGTTAAGAATTTCTCGAATGTTTATTGGTAAAGTCATAATGACAGACGAAGAGCTTCCTCTTTAATAAATAAGCATCGTCGAAAAGTCTCTCTTTTCGTAAAATTTTTTCCATTTAATCGCGTTTCGTTCCCGGTTTGTATCGTCGCAAATATCTTCCATCAGAAAATTATTAGAAAGACTTTCCGTGTCCTTCAAGAACTTTATTTAAAAAATATTACACGGTTGTATCTGATAAGATTAAAAGAAACTTTAAAAAATTTTCCTCATTAACTATCATTAGAAGGAACGGGTCGTTTGTACAAATAATTTAAACAGAAGTGCTTATATACTAATAAATATGATACTAAAGAATACTTCAGCTACGAAATTCATTTTCGTTTTATATTTATGTTTCGGTTCAAAATTGATTAATGCAAAATTACTGTTGTTGAAGAGAATCATTCCTAAATATAAACTAAAACAATCAAAAATTATTGTGACGTGGTCACAATACAGGGCTGCAGAATAAATTTATATTTTATTTCTTTATTTTTGTATCTAAAAGTCTTCTATTGATGTGTTTTTGATGGAAACCGAATAAAAAGATAGGAGAAAACCTTTGGTATCGATTTTTTCGAGGAAGTTCAACTTTACTTCGATCGTGAACAAGCTGAAGTTCGTGACAACTCGTCTCTCTAGAGATGAGTTGTCACGAACTTCGACAACAGCCAAGGCAACAGAACAGAATTCTCGTCGCAAATGTCACATATCAAATATTCGCAGAACTATTTATATATATTCATAAATAACGTTTTATGACAATGATTAAAAAAAATTAAATAGAAAGTTAGATCATTCTTTCGATTGTTACGAAACTTGAAATTCGCGAGATAAATTCTACGTAAGAATAATTTTCTACATTTTTTTTTTTAATTTTGCCATAAAATTCTCTAAATTAAATATATAAAAAGTATGTAGACTTGTAGCACATGAATATTTAATGAAAATTGATTTGGCATTTTACGTGGTCAATAACTTCCGTGAAGACAATCGCATTGTTAATATGTAATATTAAATTATCGAATGATTGACGTTTTCCATAGTAAATGTGACATTCTCTTTAATTAAATAATCAATTAATTATTTCATAATTATATATTTTAATTGAATAATTTTCGCGCATTTTACAAATTTATAAAAAATTCTGCTTTGAAAAAAAAAAGAAAAATCTTCAACAAATTATTTAGATTCTATCAAATGCCACATTTTTATTTAATTATTTTTCACCGAAAAAATTCGTATGAATATTTATTTAAAATAAAATGAGAAAAATAAATTAACTTTATAATAAAAATATCGCATTTATTCTCGATTTTTATATTATTAATGTTTAAAAAATGACAAAGGATTTCTTTATATATTGCAATTTGATTCGAAAAAATTGTTATTAATATAAAAAATTTTTCCAATCTTAATCTAATAAAATTGTATACANATGGGAGCGAGAAATAAAAAAAATTGTTAATAAATTAATACGTTTTTCAGAATACATCATTAACTTTTTTTAATGTTTAATGTTTTTGTAACGCTTATCTAAATATTTATATTCCTATTTTTCTAATTACAACTTTTTAGGGTAATTTTTTTACAAATGTAAAATTGTGGTTAAAGTTGAAATTCGTTTCATTTATTTTTCATTTTTTTCCAAATGACTTTCGAAGAAATATCTTGTTTTGTTGGATGTAGAACGATAACAATGTCTGGTATTCTCTAAAGTGATCTCGAGAAGCGTATCCACCAAAGAAATAATTTATTTTTAAGATAGAAGAGCACTTCTTTTCCTCATGAAAAAATAAATAAACAGTACTATTTGTTAGTAAAGTGCTAAACCGTTTTATGTTACTTCACATTTTAAAGTATATACAGAATCATATCAATAATATCTTAATAAATAATTCATATAATGTTTTAGTTGTGAATTATTTTCAAATAGCAAAAATTTAAATTTTGATACAGACTCGAGAGGTAAGAAAACTTTGCATTTGGTTAAACTATTGAGGAATAAAAAATTTGGAATAAATAGAAAAATTAAGTAGTCAGAGAATTACAATCTCAAAAATCAGATTTGAAGAATGATAACAGCAAAGAAATCTGTATAATTTAATTGGTTACGATATAATTTATGTACCATAATCGATATATTAACGATTGACCTATATAAATAACGTATTACTTATTTTACCATCGCATAATATATAAAAGAGTTTTTAAAATCAGACTTGTAAATAGTTTAATAATAAATTTAAATAGATAAACAAATGAATTCTTAATAATTTGAGAAAATTTCAAACGGTCGATAGCAAAAAGTCACTGGTACAACACAGGAAATGAATTACTTAAAAGGAGAAGAATCTTATTTAAGTGTTCCACAGTGTAACACTAGCACATTATCGATATAAACACGATGAGTTAAGAAAAGAGAATGACGTAGAAGTTTGTAACAGGGTAACATCAGTACAAATGCAGTTTAATTTATTAATTTTATCCATAAAATTCACGATGTATGTATGTAGGAGTTTTAATACAATAACCATGGTAAAGATGCCAAGTTGAAACGTTGTGTAGAGAGTTCCAACAGTACCAGATTCCCATTCAGTTCGTGCTTTATACATCTAAATAAGATGTGTTCGATAGCCCCTTTTTCCTATAATTTATAGTCATAAAATTACATAAAGACAACTCATTAATGTTATTGCAATTTTTGAACAAATTCAAATTAATAAGAAATTTTTATCACTAATTTTTTACAGAAATCTTAAATTTCAAAAATTAAATAATTAATCTTTTAATTAAATTAACTTTAATTCAGGCTAAAATTTAAAGTAATATCAGAATTTTACTTATATAAACAACGAAGAAACTTCATTTCCATTTACTGCCGCCTGTAAAAAAGCGAAAACTCGAGGATTCAAAATTACTTTTCGTAAATATAAAATTATTTCTTTCTAGAACATAAACTAGAGAAATGGATTTATGTAGGCGTGAAAACTGAAATGAGATCTTTAATAAAATTGTAATCTTTACTATAAATTTTTTACATAGTTCTTTCGAGAAAAAATAATTTAAGAAGATATTAACTCTCACGAGAAAGATAAAGTTAAAATATTGACTGTTAGACGAAAACAAGCAAAAATTTAAAATAAACTCTGATTATCTCAATTATTTTTCGCATACTAATTCTGAATTTATAAATTATAAATTCGTATTATTAATTAGATTTATTTTAATAAAGGCAATTCGCATAAAATGATTAGCATTGATTAATATTTTATTAATTAAATTTAAGTGGAAGGAAGTAGAGACATGGAAGATAACTACTACATTTAGCATGCGAAGGAGAGATTTCAACAATAAGTATTAAACGTCAAAGACCTAAATTCATAAAGAATAAGTTTTAAAATGTTTATAAGTTATTATTCTAGAAAATGGAGTTTGAATAAATCCCGTTGAGTTGTTGTATAAAAGTTTGATGTTCTTCGGGGATGGCTCTTCAAATATTAAATGATAAAGAATCTCGGGAGTAAAATGAAGATGAAGAATTCGTTTCGCATCATAAATAAATTATTATTCGATGGAAACCGCCATTAAAAATAAATTGCTTTATTGTCGTTCAATATAATAATTTCATTTCTTAATTTTAAAATAACTTTATTATTTACTTACTAAAGTTAAAAGATGTATACAAAAGCGCGTGATTTTTAATAAATAAACAAAAATTCACTAATTCGAGAGATTTTAATAAAATTTAGGAATTTTCTTTAATATTTTATCATGAAGCATTTTAAATAAATTTGCATTTTAATATAAATTTACTTAAGTTTAACATATAAACAGATTTCGTTAGTATCAAATTGCAAACAACATAAAAATATTTTACTCTAAGTTTAAAATAAAATAAAATTTCAAATATAAAATAACCATTGATATAATTTTTTTCTTATTTCCGTAGCAACAAGTAGAACATCAATCATTATCAATATATCAAAAAATAGTTTTCGATGTTTTGAATTCTTGTCTCAATTCTCTTTCAGATCATTCAATTCTCAA